CAGGGAGCCCGATGCGGCACTCGATCCCGGGACTCCAGGATCATGACCTGAGCCGAAGGCAGTCGCTTAACCAACTGAGCCACCCAGGCGCCCCATATTGTGTTTTGTTAACAGGACATTCTTGCAAAGGTAAATTATAGGCCAAAGACAGGCCAAGAGCTGGGGTGAGGGGAGAGACCAGTCCCAGAGGGGCACGGGTGACATCGGCGGATGGAACGGTCCAGCGTGTTCACACAGCTCTAGGCTTGTGAAACTGTATATATACTAAAGTGGGTGGGGTTTACTGTGAGGAAATAGGAGGAGGAAATGTATCTCATCTGCAAGCTTCAAGACACTCTATGTGGAACGATCCAGTTTATGTATAAAAAACTAAACACTTATGGTGCATTTACAGTTGACTCTAAAGGACACACAAAGTGCTGATACCCAGCCCTATTCTGGAAAATGGGATCCGGAAGAGGCCTGTCTTCTCACTTGTGTTTGTCTTCTTCTCATGAGCCTTATTATTGTATCTTATTACTGGTACTGTTTTAATCTCCAAAAATAAGAAAGCTACCACTTGTTGCACAAATAAAATTCCCCAGAACCTAATATCCTTTTATCCAGTGGCCTGAACACGCAGGACCCCATCTCTCCCCTGCACACGGGGCACATCCGCCCCAACCCCGCACACTGGGCGTCCCCGCCCCTCACCTGGAAGAGCCTGGTCTTCTGGTACATGGTGCCATAGCCTTCTCGGTAGCTCAGGTAAAACATGCCGGTGAAGCTGGAGCCATCGGGCCACAGGTAGGTGCCCAGCCCGTGGCGGTGGTCGCGGTAAAACTGCCCGCGGTAAGACTGTGAAGAGAGCCCCGTGCCAGGCGCACCTGAGAAGCTGCTCCTCCCCACTCCCCCAGCCTTCCAGAGCCACTCTGGCCACGGGCCCCCTTCAAGCTGGGGTGCATGGTGTCTGTTAGAGACGGTCACCTACGCGCCGCAGAGCAGGTGCCAGGCGGTCCGCGCCCCAGTGGCCGCGCTCGCCCTCGCCTGCCCTAGCTCAGGCAGGGGCATCTGGACAGGTGTTGTTACAGCCATGACTGGGTTTGGGTGGGAGCTGTCTCCGCTCAGGAGCTCTGCCCTGGGCTCAGCTCCATCCTGCCTGGGTTCACAGGCTGCAGGCTGGCCCGGGTGGGGGAGGGGGCACCAGCCTCGGGCTCCCCTGCGTGGCCCCGGGGGCAGGCTATGGACCCTGCTGGGGAGCACTGGTGTGGCTTTGATTTAAAACGCCTCCATATTGAGCCATGGATGCGGGCCTCTGTCCACTCTTGTCCCAAGCCCCACCGATGTTAGGGGCGGGTCTGTCCGAGCCTGCCCCTCTCCTGGGGTCTCAGGAGGAAAAAAGAATGTGATGCCCATTCCGAGCACTTTCCAACAGCCAGACCGGACCCTGGTGCATGGCTGACAGCCTCTTTCCACACCAGGAGCAGGCCGGGCCCAGCAATGCTCAGAGACCACTCTGGAGGAATAGGATGCTGCCTGCTGCCTGCTGCCTGCTGCCTGCTTAGTGTCCCTTCTCTTTCCTCTGGTAATGGAGAAGACTCCCTATGGGGCTGGCGGTGGACTGACCCCAGCCCCCAGGCACACGGTACCAAGACTGGCCAACCTGAGGACTCCTGACCCCCAGCCCCAGCCCTGACCTGGGCTTGGCCACAGGACCCATGCCCAAGCCAGACTAGTGTCCTGCTAGGGCCCTTCCTCTTCCAGGAGCATGTGATGCAGCTCCCGTGGGTTTGCCAGATGGCGGAGGGTCAGTCTGGACCCCCCACATGGAGATGGGGAGAGAGGGGCCCCACAGGGTCATTGGAATCCCTGGATCCAGCCAAGCCTAGGGCCACATGACCCCCAGTGATGGACTTTTCAGTTCCAAGAGCCAACAAAGGCCCTTTTCAGTCTCACCTGGGTTGAATGCAGGCTCAGTTACGGTTCTGAGGAGCCCGTCCAGCGCAAGGACACTCACTGAGCAGAGAGGCACTGGGCTGGGGCTGCCCATCTTCCGCCAACACCCATCTAATTAACATGGTTTTGTGGAGCAAATCAGAGTCCACCAAACTTTAAAAAAAATGTTGACTGGCAAATTGTTTGTGTAGAACTGCAGGGGGGACATTTAACCCTCTGGTTACTTGGGTGTGTATGCATGTGGATTTCTGTCCACTCCCCGGGAGAAAGCACCGGAGGGACCCTGTCCATCGTTGGCTCCATCCCTCCCTGGCCCTCCGCACAGACCAGGAGCCTCATCTCACCAGCCGGAGCTGACATGCTTGGTCCGGTCCTTTGAACACAGTTAACGTGTTTAAGGTCACTGCTCATGAGTGGCATGCCCTCTTGTCCCCTGGCCTCTCCAGTTCGTGAGCTGGATGAGCATCTGCTCAGTGGACCCGAGGTCCCTGCCAGCAATAATGAAGCCGTGGCTCCATCACAATACCCCCACCCAACTGTGGTCTCCCTTCATGGGGAGAACCTGTGCTCTGCAGGACAGGGCACCCAAACCTCCCAAAAGCCATGAATGGGGCTGTGGGACACTACAGTGTTGGGACAAAGGAGAACCTAGCTGAGAACTAAGACAATAAACAACCCACAGGGGTCTGTGCTTGATCACTGACGTCACGGTGACTTGCATTCGTCGACAGCAGCTCCACACACGCTTCAGTCCCAGTCATCCTGGCCTCTGTCCTGGTCACAGGAGGTCTGGAGGACCCTCTGAGCATGGGGTGCATTCCCGGCGAAGGACCGGGCCTGAGCCAGGGCCCCAACAGTCCACTGCCCTTGGAGCTACTGAATCAAAGTCCCCTACAGGGACATCTTCCCACCTCACACTCGTACCCATGCTCTGAAAATCTCCCTGCTGGAAGAACAGGCAGCCACAGCTCCGGTGTCGGCCACGGTGCTGCCCAAGGCCGTGGCTGCCCCACCCTCCCAGAGGCCCCAGGGGGAGCAGCTTCGGCAGCCAGTCTGCTGGGGTCTCCCCTGGGGTCCCGGACATGGCCTACTGCGTGGGCTCTAGAGCGTGCTTTCACTTGATTGTTAAAAAGATCCTTTCCTTCTGCTTAACCTTAAATACAAAGCCATTTCACCAACATAAATACAACTTGATACAGTAATTTGTGATTTTAAAACAGTCACCCAGAATAAGAATTTATCTTAAGTAATACTTCCTAAGCTTCGACCTGGGGACACCCAGGCCAACCGCAGGCATGACCCTGGAAGTCTGTGAGAATGTTTCTCTCCAGACATTTCTCATGTGGGAAAGACATTAGCCTAACACCCTTTCTGGCCGGTGGTCTGCAAGTTCACCTCACGTCCCTCTTAGGAGAGACCAGGGCCGCCTGGGTGCTGAGGCGGTTGAGCGTCTGACTCTTGATCTCAGCTCAGGTCGTGATCTCAGGGTCATGAGATGCAACCCCATGTCAGGCTCTGCGCTAGGAATGGAGCCTGCTTAAGACTCTCTCTCTCCCTCTCCCTCTGCCCACCACCCCGCTCCCTCTCTCCCTCTCTTGAAAAAAAAGAAAAAAGAAAAAGAAGAGGAAAGAGTGGTGGCTGGCTGACACTGGCCAGGAGGGAAGGAGCAGTGGGAGCTGGTTACCTCGCCCGTGGGCCAAGAGAATTCACCATTGCCCAGCTTCATGTCCAGCCCGAAGTCCCCTCGGTATACACAGCCATCCTGCCACTCTTGCACGCCTTGGACCAGCTGGATGTAGGTCTCTTTCAGGTCCTGCTCCCCGGGGGGACCCTCGGACTCCTCCTCCTCCTCCAGGGCCTCTGGGATGTCCCTAGGAAGGTGAAGAGCAGGGCAGGGAGGACCCACACCGGCACAGGCCTGAGGAGTGACGGTGGAGAGAACCACACGCCATCTCAGTCCTTCCTCCCAACAACCCCCCCAGGGCAGATGCTGTTGCTACCCCCATTCTGCAGAGGGAAACTGAGGCACGGGGGTGCAGTAATGGCCCAAGTGGGCAACCTGTGTCTGTCTCACGTGGCTAAATGGCTGCCAGTGCTCTGGAGGCATGACCAGCTCTAGTACCTGGAAGCAGATGGTTGCCCCACCCCAGCTGGTTGTGGGGCAAGCCTGTGCCCTCGACCAGCCCAGAGGGCCCCTGGCAGGGGCTTCACTCAGGAGCCGGCAGCCTGGCCCACAGCTGGGCAGGAAGTGGACACTCGGCAGACATGCATGGACTAATGAATGGTCTAAAGAAGGAGCGGGAGCTTTGGTCCCAGAGGAGCAGCAAGCTGACCAGTAAGCAGACAGAGGGAAGGCCACAGGGATGGGTGGGTGCACAGCAAGGGGCAGAGAATGGGCATCAAGGTGAGTTTGCTTCTTTTCTGCTCTTGCTATCTAAAAGTACAAATCCTAACTTAAAAGGGGACCTACTCCTACGCCCCATCACACACACACGGCCCCCCTCTCTGCCTCCCTCTCAAGTCGAAAGGGCGCTCTGGGGACTCTGCATCTTGGTGTCTCTGGTCTACGGACCCCTGTGCAACTGTCAGGTGGACGGTCTAGCGGGGCTGCTCAAAGCACAGAAACCTCCAGACTTTGGTCCCCCACACCAGCCAGCCCTCCCATGCCAGCTATGAGCCACAGAGGCTTAACAAAGCACTGCCCAAAGAAGGGACACAAAATCTCCTGTGAACACAAGAATCTCCATTTGCCGTGTTGTGATGCATCTGTAGAAAGAAGCCAGGAAAAATAGACACCCACATGCAACAATGATAAAATCTGGGGGCTCAGATTTGGTTTGTTTTTTCTTTGCTTACCTGTGGCTACGGGTTGAGTTGTGTCCCTACCCTCCCCCGCAACACACACACAATCCTCTATTGGAGCCCAAATCCTAGCACCTCACCATGTGGCTGTACTTGGAGACAGGATCTTCACAGAGGTGACCACTAGGGTGGGCCCAGTCCAATGTGACTACTGTCCTTCAGCCAAAGGGAAGTGTGGACACAAAGAAACACATGAAGAGAAAATGACGTGTAGACACGGGAAGAAGACAGTCATTTACAAGCCAAGGAGAGCGGCCTGGAGCAGAGTCTCCCTCACACCCTCAAAAGAAACCACCCTGCCCACACCTTGACCCTGGACTTGCAGCCTCCAGACTGATAGACAATACATTTCTCTTGTTTAGGCCACTCAGCCTGTGGTGGCCTGTCGCAGCCCTAACAAATTCATGCACCACTTCTCTTCCCACTTGCCTGCATGGCACAGATCCTACTTCCTTAATTAAACAAGTAGGAACAAATGGAAATTTTCCTTAAAAAAATAAATGGAAATGAGTTTAAGATCAAGCAAGAACATCATTAACACCACCAGTCAGCTGTAGGGGTCCCTGGAATTGGTCAGCTGGCAAGGTGAGCAAGGGCTTGACCTCCTGGTTCTGCCACCAGATAGGTTCCTTCCCCCCACCCCTTGTGACTCAAGGACATTCTTCATCCGTAAAAGAGGGGCTATGTCAGTCCGTTCAGACTATTACCAAGCCCCACAGGCTGGGGGGCTTGGACCGCACACATTTATTTCTCACAATCTGGAGGCTGGCAGCCTGAGACCGGGGGGCCTGCAGACTCCGTTCCCAGTGAAGGCCAGCTTCCTAGTTCATAGATGGCCGAAAGAGAAAGCTTTAGCTTCTTCCTCTTCTTATAAGGGAACTAATCTTATCATGGGGCCCCACCACCTCATCTAAGTCTATTCCCCAAAAGCCCCATCTCCAGGGCTGGGTGTGCAGGTGCATGGAGGACGGATGATCCATGGGAGAGGTGTGCTGGCCAGAGGAGAGCAAGGCGGCCTGGCAACCAGGGGTCTCGGGCTGGAGCCTGGGGAAAGGCAGGGCCAGTGGGAGCGGGAGCAGCTGCAGACCGAGGTGGAGCTTCTGGGACCCTGGCCCACCCTCTGGGAATGCACCCCATGCTCAGAGGGCCCTCCAGACCTCCTGTGACTAGGACAGAGGCCAGGACGGCTGGGGCTGAAGCGTGTGCGGAGCTGCTGTCGACGAATGCAAGTCACCATGACATTGGGGGTGAGGGCTTTAACATGAATTCTGGGAGTGGGGAAGAGCCAGGGAGACACAGTTCAGTCCATAACGGGGACAAATACAATAGGATTACAGGCTGGGTTTCACAAGATGCCAAGGTAAGACTCTAAGGGCAGCCCCTGGCCCAAAGTAGACCTGAGATGTGTCACATTGCTCACAGTTACCATACTGTGAAGAAGCTGTACCAACTTGGGAACTCCACAGTATAAAGCAGATGTTCCTAAGGCCACGAGAAGGTGACACAGAAAGGCAGAGTGGGTGAGCCAGAAGGAGTGTGCAGAGATCAGGCAGGGGCCTCGTAACCCACTGTTGTAATTTTCCTCAGTGGTGGCTGATACAACGTTGAGGTTTTCCTGTCTCTCCAGAGACAAGCTTTTAAAGAGCAAAATAAGTTTTAGTGGTTTTTAACACCTGCCCCAATGCTGGATCCCAGCTAAGTGGTCCCCAGGGTCAGGCTGGGACCCCCTGTGGGAGCCCCCACCCCACCCCTCACCTTTTGGTAAAGAGCATATCCATTGTGCTGGAGCTCTCCAGGGTCCCCAGGTCCTCGGTGGGGGCAGCAGGCTCATCGCCCCTCCCCACCAGCGGATTTTCATAGATGTCAACATCTGGGATTTCATAATAGAAGGCTGAGGAATAACTATTTTCCATGCCTCTCGTCCTTGAACCTGGAAGCAAAGCCAGGGACCCACATTAGCCCTCAGAGCTCCTGGCGGGCGCCAGGGACAGGCCCGCAGCCCCCCATCCGCGTCAGAGAAACGAAGCCCCATTCCCCAACCTGGTCGACGCCCCTATCCTATTGGAAACTTCCGGAGAAACCTTGGCCAGTGCCCCGAGGAGGTCCCCGTCCCTCCAGTGGGGCGGGAACCCCATTAAGGGCGGTTGGAGCCACCCTCGCACGACCTCTTAGGGCCCTGTGTTGGGGTCAGTATTACGCCTGCTAATGGCCCCAGAGGGGCCACAAACAGTAGGCGCCCCCTCCCCCACGGGCCTCTGAAGCCAGCCCGCGAGGGGCGGACGGGCAAGTGCGGGGACACGGTCCTCACCCGACCTCACACTCACAGCCTCTGAAGTCCGCCAGGCCCCAAATGTCCTGCCTGTCCCGGCCCCGGGAGGACAGAGGGCCATGCCCAGGGGGCGTCGAGTCCCCGGCACAGGCCTCCCCCGCCGCCCCGCAGAGCTCCGGGACACGCCCGTTCCCGGCTCCCCGCGCTCCCGCCGGGATCCCAACCGCACCCCTGCCGCGGGGCCGCACCGAGCCTCGGAGAACTGGCACCCACCGCTCCTGGTCCGCCCAGGGCAGCGGCCAACACAGAGCAGCCCAGAGCAGCGCCCCGAGCCAAGAGCGTCGCGTTTCCCTGGCGACCCACCCGCCGCCCACGCGCCCGCTGCGGCTCTCGGCCTCCGTCAATCCCCGCGCCCGACCCCGCCCACGGGCGTCCTCTGCCGAACGCGGGGCGCCCCTCTGTGACCTCACAGGGCCCCCGGGCGCGCGCGCCCCCGCCGAGCCCCCCACGCCTCTGCGCGTGCCGGCCTTCCGTCTGAGCCCCGCCAGAGAGAGGCGCGGGGACCCGGCCGGCCCGTCTCCACCGCGGACACCTACGTCCACGTCCAGCAGAGGACGGGGAGCCAGCTCTGGGCCAAGGGCTCCTCGGGGGGGGAGCGCTAAATACTCCAACGGCCCCGCGAAGAGCGCACGGGGACTGTGCCCATGAGACACCGGAGGAAACCGAGGCACAGTTAACCGAGGTTAACTTGTCCCCACTGCCACGTACCAACACGCCGTAAAGCCAACATCTGAAGAGCTCTGCCGGACTCCAAAGCCGGTTTTTGTCGGTTCCGTACAAGTTTGTGGCAGGCACGGAGCAGAAGCTTCTGGTCCGGTGCGGGGACAAGGCGACCTATGGGTTCCAGATCACGGAGACAAGGATTAGCTCTGTGGACCGAGGCGTCACTGGAGAAGACTGCGGAGAGGGAGTCCTGAATAGGGCTTCAGAGGATGCGCAGGAGCTCTCCAAACAGAGGAAGGAGCGAGGTGCAGCGAACTGGACTAGGATGCGCAGAGGCACAGCGGTGGGAAACGGCTCAAGGGCTTTCTGCAACTGAAGCCATTGGAGCCTCTGAGAGAGGTGGGGCTCTCTGCAGGCGCAGGGTCCGGGGTCCTCAGCCCAGGCTGCCCTTTAGAACATGGGGAAAGGGATACGCAAAGCCCATGCCCAGTCCCTTCCCCAGTGGCTAGATTCTGGCTAGGGTTCTGGGGTGCTTCCTCCAGCCCTCTATCTCCCAATTCACCTCTCTTCTCCCTTCATACCTACCTTGGTTCCTGGATCCCCTGCTCCCTCCCATTGCAGCTTGGGAATTTTAAGCACAAACTAAACTGTCTTTAAAATTCCTTTGGGGGGCGCCTGGGTGGCTCAGTGGGTTAAGTGTCTGACTCTTGATTTCCGCTCAGGTCATGATCTCAGGATGGTGGAATTGTGCCCCCCACATGGGGCTCTGCTCAGTGCAGAGTCTGCTTCTCCCTCTGCTCCTCCCCCCACTCCCGCTCTGTCTCTAAAATAAATAAATAAAATCTTTAAAAATAAAATAAAATTCCTTTGCTATGAAAAGAGAAAGAGGGACGCCTGGGTGGCTCAGTCAGTTAAACGTCTGCCTTCCGCTCAGGTCATGATCCCAGGGTCCTGGGATGGAGCCCTGCATCAGGCTCCCCTGCTTCTCCCTCTCCCATTCCCCCTGCTTGTGTTCCCTCTCTCGCTGTCTCTCTGTCAAATAAAATCTTTAAAGAGAGAGAGAGAAATGGTCAACTTCAAAATATCCTACAAACTTGGTAAACCATACCATCTGTTGCAGGTTGAATGGCATCCCCCCAAAACATTAAGTTTAAATCCTAAGCCTTGGTACCTGTGAATGACCTTATATGGAAATAGGGTCTTTGCAACTAATCAAGTCAAGAAGTCATACTGGATTAGGATGTGCCTTAAACTAAATGACTAGTGTCCTGATAAGAAGGAGATTTGGAGACCCCAAACACACAGGGAAAAATAAACTTCTGTTGTTTTAAGCCACCGAGTTTGTGATGTTTTGTTACAGATGAATCAGAAAAAAACACTTACTATTATTAGAATAAAACAAAGTGCAATATCATTGTATACAGGGTTGCAAGACAGCTACTTTTCACTGAAACGGATCCCGGAAAGACGTCCCTGAATGACACTGGCCATCAGAAAAACCTGAATAAGTCTTATGTGGCAACTATGTGGACATTAAATGATGTGGGTTTTTTTAAGAATTTATTTGCGAGAGCACACGCACAAGCGGGGGGCGGGGGGGGGAGTGGCAGAGGGAGAGGGAGAAGCAGACTCTCCGCTGAGCAGGGAGCTCAACTCGGTGCTTGATTCCAGGACCTGAAGGACCTGGAGATCATGATCTAAGCTGAAGGCAGACACAACCCACTGAGCCACCCGGGAGACCCTAAACGATGTTAACTTTTTAAAAGTTAGAGTGATGAACCAAAAATTAAGAAAAATAAAAATACTGGTATATGAAGAAATGAAAACTTAACAACAAATAGTTTTATTTCATATGAACTGTGTTTTACAATAAAAGGGAAAATAAAATGCAGAAATTACAAAGAGCAATTAATTAGGAAGCGGATAAAAGGGAACAAACATAAAACTGTACTAAAAGGCACCTCAGCCGGCAATACAATTATTAGTTCCTAAGAGGAAGCGAAGCCAGGCAGCCTACCAACAAAACGATACAGAGGATACTGGAGGGGACCCCCTGTCCGCATGGCAGCTGGAGAAGCCCACCTCCCCGAGCCCAGCTGGGGCTCTGCTACCCGCCCCCTCCACGGCCAGACCGGCTCCGGGACGGGTGCCCGCGTCGGTGAGCCACCCCCCACCCCGGGCGCAGGGACAGGCACTGCAGCACTAGAAGCCCAGCCTCGCAGGTCTGCCCCGGCCGCGGTCTGTCCAGCCCAGGATGCCCGGGAGAGAACACCGCCCTCCCGCGCAGGATCGCGGGTCCCGGTCCTCCACGTTCCCCAGGGACCGCCCATTCATCCCAACGTCCCGGCCCCGCCCGCCCCGCCGCGGCCAATCCCATTCGCCCGCCGGTCCACGAGCCCAGCCAATGGCCGCAATCCCCATCCGCAGCCAATCAGAGGATGAGCCCTGCTCTGCCCCGCCAATGCGGAGGCAGCCAGGGCCCCGCGGGTGGGACCCTCGGAGGCCTTTAGGACCCCGGGGGTGCCCGGCGGGCCGCCCGGCCGCCCAAACTAGTCCCGCGGACCGGGCGTCCCGGCGCGGGTCATGGACCCGGGACAAGCCAGCCGCCGCGAG